TAGAATTGAAGTCCAGCAATACTTGTGTGCTAAAAGCTGTTGTACATCATTACTATCCTAGATTAAATTCTCCAATGGGCCCATTTAAAGTTCATGTTGTTACTTCAAGCATGTATGTGAGGAATAAATGAAAGGGGGAAAAAACCCACCCCAAAATCTGGACACAAAGAGATTGCTTCAAAGAAGAGATATTTATTACAAAATTAAATTCCAAATTCGACCTAATTTTCCATTATCACCTGTACAAAACACATTTATAGCTCAAGGGAATATTCTCCCATCCACACCATATGGTACAGTAATTGCACCATTGTAATTAAAAGAGTTCAGTTCAGACAGATGCACACACATCCCCCGGCATTAGTAAGAAAGGTTCAGGATATAGAACAGAATTACCAAAGAACCCCTCTCACTGCTGCTCCAAACTCTTGCTTAGCCAGGGGCAAGCTCTTCAAAGATGGCTCTAAACCCTGTCTCTTGTAAAACACAGTAAGCTCACTTGGCAAAGTTTTAGAATCAATTACAAATTCAGCAGGAATGCTATTTATGGTAACATGTGATAGCCACAGATATTATTTGTGTTAACCATAGCCCTTGGCATTCAAGTAAAGAGCATAAAAAAGTTTACAAAAAGTGAAGCTACTTGCAACCAACCACACAACTAAGGTCTTAGTACTTTAAAGAAGACAGAGAATTTTCAGTCCTGACTGCTTGCAGCCAACAGCCCTGCCCCAAAGAAAGTATGCTATGGAGGTGGTGCTCTTATCCTCAGTCTTCCTTTCCCAGCAGGGAAGAGCCTTATGTTGTTCTAACAGTCCCCACATTTTTGCTTTCGTGACACACTTGCCCATGTGTGGGAACATGGGGTCACTTGCTGTAAAGGGGAAAAATAAATATCTTACCTCCTTTCCCCAGCTGTCAGAGACACAGGGCACTGCTAAGGAGGTTTTCACATTGCCAGCAGGATCCTGAGAGGAGGAATCAGTGCTTGTGCACATGGTGCCAGCCCAGAGGGTTACTCAGTCACAGCATGGAAGGGAAGCTGCTAAGTGTGGCAATGCAGAATTTCAGGTGAATGCCTTGTGTTTCCACAATAGCAGCTGGTTTGCTCTCAAGCCCCTTAAAAACAATCTCTGAAAGATTCAGGAGGGACAGGAGGGAACTATCACATTAGACATTTGTTTACCTTTCCATTACAAGGTTCTGGTTTTCCTCTTAGACCACATGACAGGTATTACAAGATGTTCTGTCCTATCCCTTGTCCAGGCACCTGTATGAAACGGATGCATAGCCCAAAAATTAGGGGAAGCAAAGACATGTCCTGTACTTTGGGCATTCCTCAAGAACCAGAAGGAAGAAGGAAGATATAAAAAAGTATATTCTGCCAATGCCCTTTGTGCATCAATCAGCCTTTCCAATCAAGATGCAAAAAGAAAGCCCTGTGCAGAATAAAGAGTGGTGGTGGCTTCCAGGACTGCAAACAATGGTGGTAAACAGTGATGGCACAGAGTCCTCCACCTGGACCAAGGGCAACCTTGGCACAGAAATCTCCATTCAAATCTTGTCACATCTGTGTCTCACAGCATGAGTGGTCCAGTTCCTGGAAATAGGCCAGTCCCTGCTGCTGGAATAGATGTGTGCCTGTCAATGTCCTGAAGCAACTGTTAGCAGAAACCTTTTAAGATGGATGGATTGCCTAGGATAAAGCTAGATGAGCCCAGAGGCCCTCTATCCTTCAGAGACTGAAGAGCTGAAAATAGAGTTTACACACAAAAAAGAATTTGAAGCAGGGAACGTGGCAGCCTGCAGCTTTTTGTGATTTGAATCCATGGATACAGTTTGATGGAATACTTTGTCAGTGATAAAAGGAGCCCTGTCAAGCAGGGTTCAAAGAGAGCAGCTGCTCCAGAGAACAGCACCTCTGGCCCCAGAAAGCACCGTTAGCTATTTCCATGTGACTGCAGAAGAGGACTAATGAGCAGTTCTCAAAAAGAACCTGAACTCATTCCACAAGCACAACGGGAAAAACTGAACCAAAGCAGCCCAAATTCCATCCCAAAAACAAAGAGTGCCTTGCACCCATTGCCTCATGTCTGTACCACTTAGATATTTCAAGACGGAGTCACGAAGGGAGTCCAAATTATTGTATTTTACTGACCTCATAAAATATCAATTACTATTATGTTTCAGTAATGGCCTGACAGATTTTGTTTTAAGAAGCAAATACTGAAGGTCAAATTCCAACAGGAGTAATTTTTCTCCTGAAAGAAGACAGAGCTACATCAATGTACACTTACTTGAAAACCCAACCCTTGGAATCCAGAGAGTGCAGAGGAAATGTCTGCCCTCTAGTCTTCAATGTAGACCTTTCCATCCTTTTAACTCCAGATCAAAAATAAAAATTCTGCTGGAACTTGCTCCCTCTTGTGGAATAGCTAGATTTTTTTTCACTGTATGCCTTCAACCATTTACCAGTACACAAGACCTAAGAAACAGTCTCAATGTCAATCAAATGCTCTCAAGAAAATTTCTGAAGTGACAATCCTAAAGAAAAAGAAACCTTTTGTCTGTGTTGAAAGAGAAGCTGGATTTGTGCATAGGAAAGTGGGATGAGAGCACTAAATTTGTCACCTTCAGCACTCAGCTGCCAATCCACATCCAAAAGATTATTACTAATAAAGGATGGAAGGATCCTAGCCAAGAAACAGACTAGTTCATCTTCCTCAGGCAACTCCTACAAAACTGACCCCTTAATAATAACTGAAGAAACCAAGGTTATTGACTCAATTTCTACACTCCCAAGGTTTAATATGATGAATGAAGGTGTTACAAACAGTAATTCCAAAACACAAGCTTCTTAGATTTTTTTTTTTGTTGCTAATGCTAAGGGGAAGTGTGTAATTGTATGTGCTGGAAAAAAATGCACTTTAAATCATAGCTTTTGCCAGCTCTTCTGGCAAATCCTCCCCATGACAATGGGACTCCCTTAGGGAAAGCTCATATTGAGGACAGCAATGTATTAAGTCAATAATCTCACCAAGAGATTGGGGGATCACATTGTTACAAGGCAGCACCGCACTGTCTGCCTTCCACATTGCCAACAGTTAACAATTTGCTGCTGCTGTCAGATCTGGCAGGTTCTGAAGAAGTTTGCAGCCTTCTCCCACATCCTTCTTGCCTATATATCACCTCTGAGAATTCCTGCAATAACAAGTAGAAAAAATCATCAAACCCAGCAGCTAATTATTGCAATGGCTTCCCACCACGTATAAGCAGCAGGTGATAACTCAAAACCTTGAGAATCAAAAGCACAGGTCCATCCCATCTGAGCTAGTATCTCTAGGAGTCAGTTTCTGGAGAGATGTGACACACCAAGCCAGAGCCTTACAAAGCAGCTGCCTTGCTGAACAATGCTGTGGATCTCAACTAGAGAGACCCCAAGGCAAGTCTGACTGGAGTCTAATTCCCCCACAGAACAATTATGCTACTGCAGCCCTTCCATGTGGTAGGAAATGTATTGGAATCCAAGATTTGGTAAGAGAAATAAACGCACAGTCCATTTTAAAGGCAGACACACCCACCTGTTACTCTCCCTCTACCTGTAATTTTGATGCAAGGCTGTGAAGCAAAGCAAGAACTTTGAAATGAAAGACATGAGTTCATTGAAACATACGTACAAGAGTTTTTCAAATATTATTGCTTGAGCTAGGAATACAGCTGTGATCTAAGTGTCATTCACATTGGATACTACAAGGTAGCAACTTGAACTGTGACAAGAAATTGACATTGGATGAAGAGTAGGAAATGGAATAAAAGAAACACAGACAAAAATAGACCTAACACAGGACAAAGGCACCTGATAAATCAAATTCCACTTTCTTGGAAGGGGTGGATTTGACATTCAATGGCTCTTGACACTTCACAGACAAAGAATTTTTGCCTGGCCTCACATTTCCTTGTAATTTGATAATCAGCAGTCTAGAGAAGGAACTTGTTCAGTTTGGGAACACTGAGCAGATACTTTGGCACCAGCAGCCCGTTTTGCAGATGCCACATGCGCTGAGATGCAGCCTTCCCCTAAAAGCACAGGCACTGGCACTGAAATAGCTGGGAACAAAAGCTGAATGACAGCTGTCTGTAAGATTTCCAAGCTATCATTACAGTCTCCAGTACATCCTCATGCTGGTCTCCACAGCATACTGGGACTGAAAATAAACCACCTGTCATTTCTACTGTGATTTCCTTGGCGCTTTCAGACAGAAGTGAAAAAAGCTACAAAGAGCTAAGCTGGAACAGTCTGGCTCTGAAAACAGGCCTGCTAGGTGAGTTGTAGAACCGATTAAAGGTGACCAGAGAGAAAGGCAGTATATAGGAATAAACAATTTCCATCTCTGCAATGGGCCTGGGAGACAGGCAAGGCACAATGGATCAGGAGATTTCAAACAGACCCTATCAGTCAAATTTTAAAAATCCAGGGTCAGAACAAAAAAACCTTCAGACAGCCAAGGCAGGTAGAATGAAGGTCCCCAGATACTTACAGTAAGCTTTCAAAAACCTCATCATAAGAAAGGTTGTTAATCTTGTTAGAAGTCCTATAGTGCTTCAAACTGTAGTGGTGCTTAGATGACAAGAAGGAAGACACACACACACATAGAGTGTATGTGCAACTGCAGACAGCCTCCAACTTGTACTGATCTGGCTGCTGGAATGCCACTGCTGTTGGACTGACACATACTGCTTCAAGGAATTGGCATTCAGGCAGCCAGTTGTCCATTAATACAACCTAAGGATTCAGGATATGAGTCTTTTAATTTAAGGGGACCTTGTCATCCTCTGCATCTTCCAATGCAGGCAGTGCAAACAAATGCCAAAGCAACAGGGTTACTATACCCAGAGTCCTCCAGAGAGGCCTTTTACAGTCACGTTCTCAAAGCACCAGAATCAGCCTGGCATGCAGCAGATCCCATGTTTCTGATCCGTGCTCCCAGGCTTCCTTTGCTCTAGAATTCCCAGGAGTCCATCCACCGGAGCCCTGCCATGGGGCTGCTCGGGTGGGAGGCCATGGGTCCTATCATCCCATAGGACAGGGGATGGAAGAGGTAGAAGCTGTGGAAAGAAACCAAATGCCCATCAAACACAGCACAGTTTTCTGTCTCAAGAAGTTCCCAGCCTATGGGACCTTTGTCTTTGGACTGCTCTAAACTTTACTGGGAACCTTCTAATCTCTGCTGAACCCAATATATACCTAGCACATAGTTTTATCACATGTGGTAAACCTACAATAATGAACAATTTGCCTGTATTTGTGGAATATGTCACCATCATTGGGAATAGAACCACAAACCACTGCACGGCAGGTTTGGAGGAGAACAGAGTATTCACACTGTGTGCTGCAACAAAAGACAGACTCCCTGCAATGGAAAGATGCTCTATAATGCATTACAGGGACACAGATACTGAATCTAAACAAATTTGAAGGTTTAGGATTAGGCTTGAGGATGTCTGACAAATCAGCAGAGAAGGAAAAAGGGAACAAATGCTAAGGATAATTAACAGGTAGCAAAGTTTCTATTGAGATGGCAATTGTCACACATTCCATTCATGAAAAGTTCAGCTGTACTCACCTGTACAGGATGAGCAGAACCAGTGCCAGGAATCCACCTCCATATACCTTTCTTGCTGTAGTGCTGGGTGACAAGAACCCAGCACAGAACTTCAGTAGCGCATCCCAGGTGATTCCTAGGAGAAGGAAGAGGTAGAAGTCAGAAGAACAGAGCTGCTGGGTTCACAGACTAGGCTGACAAAACTCTGTTAACACCAAAAGACCATGTCAATTTTTGAATTCATTTACCTTGGTAACCTTCTGAACCATAGAGATTGTATCAGAAAGGTTCTTTTTGTCCTACCTTTCCGTTTGAATAAATGCAAAAGAGATCTGGGTGCCAGATGCTAATGAAGTTGGTATAAATTCACAGGAAAAATGACCAAGGCCAAATTATAAACAGACATGACAGAAAGGTGTTGGCAGCAAACAAAGAGGGAAGTAACTTATATACAAGAATATATAAGAACAGTGAAATAGCAGAGACCAGGAATCCCATCTCTAAATTTAAATGCCTTAAGCACTAGACATGACTGCCTCTTCAGGTTGACTTTTTAACAAAATTAACAATTTTTTTTTTAAACAGAAAATCAACCAACCAACCACCACCAAAAAGCCAAAACCAAACAGACAAAAAAAAATTTGCACTGCAAGCTGTTTTGTGAAAAAAGTTTTGAGTAAGTCAGTGCTTTTAAGCACTTTGCACAAGCAAACAAAGCCTATCAAAATAATAAACATTTTAGGCTGAAAAACATTCAGTTTAACAGATTATCACCTTTTTCCCTACCTTGTCTTCTCCAAGACTCTAGTATTTACCTGTCAACATGCTGGAAAAAAGCATGGCAGGAAAGTAGTGGTGGAAGTAGAGAACTCGTCCCATCATAAAAAAAGGGAGGTAATGAAGGAGCCAGCCCAGTGTGATCTGCCCTCCAGCATGTAGCACCACTCTGGACAGTTCTGGGACACAAATAAACACACCTCAGCAGAGAAAAACTCAGCTACAGTTCCCATTTGCAAACCTTAACACACTAAGTAAACTCAACAGGAATGATCTTTGCAAGAAGTCATGAATTGTTCTGGAATTGCTTCAAGCCTCTGCAACATCCTAGTTGCATTCATTATAAACATACAAGCACTCTTCAGGAGAACAGCTGCCAGAAAAGAGATACACAATCCTAAGTCTCAAGGCATGGCAGGAGGTTGGCCACACTCTAAGTTAAAACCAAACATGCAGTTTCTCCATCTGTGCATCAGACCAATCAGGTGATTCTGGTTTCTGAAGATTTTCATTGTCTCTGCAATGAGAGCCATCCAGATGATCACTTTGTCAGCCCTTCCTGGAAAGAAGTGGTGCCTAACTTTCAGAGCCTGGGGAAGGGACTAAGAGCTCTGGTGTCTGTATACAGCTTAGCCAATAACTCACTGTATAATTGAGTGGTTTCCCATCACATTTTGGAACTGACTTTCCATAAGGAGATCTACAAAATGAAGCAACCATTGATGTAAACAGGAATGATGAAAGTATGACTAATTAGGCCTTGTGAAAAGCTTCAAAACCTTGGCAATGGACATAATGAAGGATCATTATTATCTCTTGTATTTGTCATTTGCTTTGCATAAATATCAGAAAACATTTCTTGTCTTAAGACACTGTGCAAACTACTGAGCACATGCAGAGCTTGACAGCAGGGCATTGATTAATTGGCCTGTATCCCTTGCAGCCAATGTAGACAGCCATGCACTATTTTTGTAGATCATCTGTGGTGTTCACTATAAACTACAGCTATGAAGTTCCCACTCTCTTCCCTGTGGACACTGCTTGATAATCCAAGCTCAATGGTTTCCCACCCTTGACACACCAAGTCCTGCCATCCACACACTTTTAAGGTTCCTGCAAAAGGCATCTATGAAAAGGAAGACTGAGCTCACCTTTGAGTTCAGATGTCAGTTGGACACCTCTCTTCAGTGCCACTGCAGTGGCAACTGTTATCAGAAGATATAACCCAATAGTGACCAGATTTAGCCACCAAATCACCTACACAAGAGAAAAAGAAAGATTTGGGACTTTATGCTGGGTGTGTGCACACGATGTGCAAACATAAAGAGTACAATTAGAGAGACAGTCCAAAAGGAGAAGGAAGACAACTGGCAGAAGCAAGACTAAGCTCAAGTTTGCTAAAGACATTGGCTTGGAACCTCTCACTCCAACTTACCGGGTTTCCAAGCAAATAAACCCGATAATCCGTCTCATTGACGCCAGAAAAACGCAGTCCCTGAAGAGAGAGATCAGAAGGGAGAAAAACATATTCATCAGGGTCCAGTTTGTATTCTGCACAGCTTCTAAGGTGAGACAAATTCCCATCTCAGGTGCTCCAAAAGAAAGCTGACAACATCTTCAATGCAATTACAAGGTGTTGTGCTTCAAAAGGCACTGCAAAAGCACTTTTTAAAGTGAAAATAGAAAGGAATATAGATTGATGAATATACCTGGTAATTGATGGGCCAGTGCCAAGGTTTGGATGTGACTTCATTGTCCTTTGGTTTGAGGCCACTGTTTCCCTACAGATAAATGAACATAAAATTTAAATGAGCAGGCAGGTATGGTGCAATGTCTGCCCAGAAATGTCTGTGTACACAAACATACATCAATACTCTACCTGAGTGAAAGTTCTTTTTTGACCTACATAAACACATCATTTTCCACAATGGTCAGAATTAGGATTATGAATGTTCTACTACTATTATGCAAGTGAAAATGGGTTTTGGGTAGTAAAAGAGGCAGTACTCTCTCATTTCTCTTCTTCAGCTTTTCTGTCACTAAGGATACATGTTGCATAAGCAAGACCTTTTTTCATTAAGAGACTGCTGTGACAGGTTTCTCTCCATTACATAAAAAAAGCCTCAAAGACTATTTCCATGGAAACTCATGCAGGTGCTTCCTTACCTGAGACAGCATTATCACTGATTGCCATGGAAACACTTTACAAAAACACTTTACAAGTACTAACAATAACATGCTTGACAACTTTTTTCTCTTTAAAATCTGAGAAGAGCTTCACAAACAATAGCAAAGAAAACCCTAGGCTCCTTTCTGAAAATATTAACTTCTCATTCTTCATTCACATTCAGGAGCTGGAGGTAGAAGGGCTGTGGCCAAGAGTACAAAGAGCAAGCATAGGAAAAGACTACAAGAGCTGTCCACCTTGCAAATATTAAATCTGCTCTTTAAAAAAAGTATATATTCAGAGATATAAAGGAAACCACAAATCACAGCTTCTTGATGAACTTGAAAAAAATCAGAAGTTTTCTATTTTCAATCCAAACACTTACTAGTTTTTTAAGTGTCTGTTTAGCTGATTTGCCTTATTTTGACCACAGTAATATCCTCCCCTGCCTCACAAATACTAAATTTCCTTTAAAGCCTTACAGGAAGGTAGGGAAAACATTACATAACTAGGCTGTAGCTAGATCACACCAACAGGAGAGCCAGGCACTAAGCACAGGGCTTCCAAACTTGGAAGATTTAGCTCCAAGATCATCCTTTATTCTAAGTATAAATTCAAGTAGGTTGCTTGGGCATGCAAATTCTGCCCTAGCTTGCAGCCATCACCCAGATCTCTCTGAAAGTGCTATTTGTTTTTGAATGCAAGAGAGAGGAAGAAAAAAATGATAGTCTGGAATCAATGATATCATACCCGGATCATAACCATGTGGGATTCTAGCAGAATTTCTGCAAAAGAAGGCTTCAAAACATCCAGGCTGATATTGGGCACTTAAAAAAAAAAAAAAAAGAAAAAAAAAGAGAGAAATAGATTATAAGTTTGTATGGTTTCCTTTTATTTGCCTTTTTCATAATAAACTAAACTCTCTCCTCCTACAACAAATCTGCTTCCAGAACCTCTTTTAATTCTCTATGCAATTCATTCATACTCTAAACACAGTGGCTTGCAGTCAATTTCCAATGAATTTTACAACTGTTGTACTTCTAAATTTCCTCCTTTACTTCCAGGAGCAACAGAATTACATAGAAGTCCATTAAATAAATGGATTTGTATTTCTGGCTGCCATTAAGAGACACAGGCTTCATAGGTTGCTGTTTATCTGTAAATGAGCCATAAGTATGGGAATATAAAATGCATTACAACAGAAGAAGAAATTCTACCAAGTCAACAGCCCAGGATTTCTCTCTTTTGGTTTACACACAGCTGCTCTCACAGGAGGAAGAACAGTAAGTGTTCTAATAACTCAGAACTCAGCCCAAGTCACCAGAAATTCATGGGGTGAAGATTGTGTTGAACAACCCAGGCCAGATGAGCCTGTGAAACAAACATAACTCCTGGATAAGGCTGCAAGGCCCACCTGCCATTACTGGCAAACTCAGATCTCTGTCACACACTATTCATTTCTTGATGGTACTACCAAGCCATCATTTAGCACAGCCCCAGTAGGAGAAGGAAAAAATATACCAGAACAGACTGGATCCAAGCTTTTTTAAAAAATCATTGAAATATATATGACATACTCATAACAATGACAACAATTCCCAATTAAGCAATCTTAGAAATAACAGCCTGTATTGTAGTACTTCACACTTCTGTAACACATTAAAATCTCAAAATCTTTAAGAAAGTCTTTATATTTCCACTACACTTCAAGCATTATCACCAGCTTCCAGTACAAACAGTGAAGTAGAAAAGGGCTCTGTATCCCTGCACACACTCAAGTTCAGCAAGTTCATGCACAATGCCAGTTACTGCTATCTGATAGCTCATCCCTTCCTTTCAACAGTAAGCCAAGATGCACTCTCTATCAAAAAGGAAATCAATTACTTACATTTAGGGTTAATATGATCTTCAAAGTTCCAGAGGGAATTGGGTGTCTCCTTCAGGTATGGTGTGCAGGTCACTTCTACTTGTTCCCAGCCCCTGAGGATCAGCAGAACAGTTCACCACCACCCCACATGAGCACTCAATATTTCCATTTTGTGTTTAGTTTTTGCCCATTTAGCTTTATATTTCTCCATAATGCTTCAGCAGTTGCATTCTTACATACTATAGGAACCATGTAGAAACCAAAACAGATCTGCAAGGCAGCTGACATCAAAATTCTACAGAATAGTTGAACCACATTTCTCACTTTCTCACCTAAAAAGCCCTAGGTGGATATGTGGGATTTTTGAAAATTATGCACCTTGCCAACTAAAAAGAAGCTACTTCCAATTCAACCCTTAATAGTCCCTCCAAAGCAAATCATCAATTTAAGTCAATCCATATCTGCAAGAACTATATTATAGAAACAATTACCTTAGAGGATACTAATAACTGTTCTTTAGTCTGTCACCCTATGTCTAGTAGGTCACATCAAAGACTTTGGGAGAAAGTGCATCAAATCTGGCAGAAATATGACAGATGAATAGGGAATTTTCTATCAATCACCACTCAGCAAATTTCACTAATTAAGTAATCCATAACTTAATTACCATTAAATTCTCTGAAGGGCAGTGATTACTACCCATTAAATAAAAAATAAAAAAATCCAACATACTCTAACCATCTTTATTTGCAATTAACAAGTATTTTTTTGCCCTCAGCTGTTACTATCATCATTTTGTGGCAATAACTTCCATTCACATACCAAATTGTTAGTGGGGAAAAAAAAAAGAAGAAACCCAATCCACAATGTTTTCTGAATGCTCTTGATGGAGGTTGGCTTTTTTGTTAACTGAACACATTACGTGTCCATGAGCCCAGCTTTATGGTGATGTCTAAGTGGCATTTGCACTCCTGGCCAGGCAGTTGCCTGCTCTGTGATTCAGCATCCACAGGATTCTTTAGAATCTGGTTTTACCACAACACAGAGAAGTGAAACCTAGAGGTTCCTAGGGAAACCTAGGGAGATAGCTCTCAAAACAGCAGCAACATGAGTGCACACCTCTGCCTCAGGATCCATGTCAGCATCCCACATGGTGCAGCTTTATAGACAGGGCAGCTTGCTTCCATCAGCCTGGATGTCTCTGCATACACCTCATCTGAATGATGAAGATGCATAATTCAAAGACATAAAATCCCAACACCTGCTAATAGCAGTTTGTAACCACTGCCTTGCTTTAGATGCTGCATGCAAAAATAGCAAAGGTCTTTAATCACAAGGTAAATTAATACCAACAGAAAGCAATTTTCAAGATTGTGGTACAGAACAGCATTCTGTACCACAGTTTCCAGTGCTTTTTGCAAACCCCAAGGATAAATAGCATGTTAAATAACACATCTATCATCCCCTCCTGGCCTTACCAGAGGACAAGATCTATGTCCATGCCACTCTTGGATCTCTTAGTAAGGGATACTATTTTTCAGAGCTGCATACCTTCACTGTAACAGACTGCATAATCCTAACCCAGATCTTTGCCTCTGGCCATATTTCTAGAACCTGCTACTTACATTTTTATTCTTTTAAAGAAATGGAAGAAATGTACTTATTGCTTAGTCTAAAAGTACCATTGAGTAAAGGAACATGGCAGCTCAAAGGCCTGCAGAGGGTGGATATTTACCATTTTGGCAGAGTCTTTCCAGAAGATCCCAATATACAGCCTGTGGCCACGTGGGTTAGCCGGACCTGACTGCGTAGGACTTTGATGAGCTGCCCAGTCCTTCTGCCCACCACCTCAATCCTCCAGAAGTCATTGGAGTCTCCTGTTCCATTCTATCAGCAAATATGCCATTCGAGAAAAAAAATTACAAAAATAGAAAACAGAAACCAAACAGTGCCCAAACTAGAAGGCACACAGAACTGAAGCACTGCAAATAGGAAATTCTGAAACTCCACTGGGTGCAAGCTAAAAAAACTCGCCCAGACCAGCCTTACTCACACTTCACAGAAGATATTCCCCATCAGGAAGACATCATTCTAGACATAAGCAACCACTCACAAACACATCTCTATCTTGCCAATTTTAATTTTGTTTGCTTTCAATTCATTCTTGACTGTAGCTCAGAGTTACAGCATAAACAGGGGCAACTTGGCTGCTCCACAAAAGGGGTTTAGGCAACAGATCTTTGCATTTAGAAATTCAGCCCTCAAAGCATATTCCATCTTTGTGATTCAAAATTCTGTCATCATTCTGTCAAAAAAACACTTGTCTATGTGACAAGGCCAAATACATAAAATAATACTTGTCAGAGCAACTTCAAGGTTGCTCAGTTTGTCATTTCTGGAGTTGAATGCTGCCAAAGCTAGACTGACAGTAAAAGTTTAAATTATTTTTTTATCTGTGTTCACATCAAATAGACCTTAAATATGAGAGAAGGCATTTCATACTACACCAGTTCTTCCCTTGAGGATGGCAGATGTCCATCTATCATCCTGGCTAACAAACTAAAAAAAGCAACAATAAATTCCCTTATCATGATATGAACTCTTCCCAAAGAAGCTTTTGTTTTATCTTCCCTTCACTTACTATTCCATAGCCAGTGACCTGAAAATGCTTCCTTGTCAGGGGAGCCTCATGCTGGTGACTGTGCAGATTTCTAGAAGTTCTGAAAGGAAATTAAAAGTCAAACCTTTGAACCCTTGTCAATTTGTGATAAAAACATTGCTTTGAGCCATTCAGAGATCTGCCAGTACTCTAACCACTGAATTCCAGCTGAGGGCACAGCAGGATGCAGCCTTAACGGGATGGAGTGGAACTGTCACTTTCCAGCACATGACTCTGAGCTTATACCACACTGGGCAGTGACAAAAAAGGATGACAGCATGAATAAATCCAACCCTCAAACTACAAAAGGAAAAGAGATTGGTTTTAATTTGCTCTGTTTTGTTTTGTTTTAATTAACAGTAAAAGTGTGACAAAGAGACCTGCCTTATAAGAAGAAAAGCAAGATCCTGACCTTCTGTGATTATCAGCTTTGCTTTTGCGGGGAAAGATTGTACCATTTAGGGGGAAATCAGTGGCCACCATTTAGCACCAGCACAGTGCAGACCTGTGAGCCTCCCACGCTGGCAGGGTCTGCCAGCTGAGGCTAGCAGAGAAACATGGCCACAGTCTGTCAGTCCTTGCCAAAGGTGCTGGGACAGTGCCCATTGTGCTGCTGCCCAGCTGCAGGGACACTGCTGTCCCACGGGATGTGTCACAGGCCAGCCCCGTGTGCCGCCTGCCGGATCCTTCCCCAGCACCGCTGAGGCACTCCCGTGCCAGGGACCTCAGCAGGACTTAACCCATTTTGCCTGATCAAGATTTTATCATCCTCATTACCACATATTTGGTAGTAAACTCCCAATTCAAAATTAAAAAAAATAAGTCTTACAATCGTTTTGGAAGGCTAAGCAATGGTTTGTGCATACGCCATACTGAATTATAATCCAACATGATTTCCTGGCTCATGAGTTTAGAGGTTCTGTTAAGAGATCAAAGCTGACATTACACTAGATAAAGACTAAATATCAAGTCACTACGGTTCCCCTGCTTCCTCTTAGGTATTCCCTGCAGAAAGGGAAGGGATCAGCTTCCACTTTCATTGAAAGTGTTTAACTGCTATGATCTCAGTGCTGTTGAGAACTTCAGCAGGTGGATACCACCTATGAACATAGGGACAAGATACTTGCAGTACACTGACAAAAAACCCTATATTCAATTTGTCTAGAAAATTCAGCATGGAGACAGGCAACAGAATGAGGGTTTTGAAACTGCTTCTCTGGAAGAGTTACCCTGATTATTGCACCTCACACAACTGCAGAAATCTCCCTACTGCTTAGGCAGCTAGTTCTAATAAAGTTGTGTGGTTCTCTCTAAAGTTTCTTATTTAATATACACTTTTCAGAACATAAATCATAGAAGAAAAACTCTACAAACCTCACACTGGAAATTCAGATATACAGATACCTCTATCACACAGCCTGCTTGTGCTTGTCTAACCACAGTCTCCAACAGGACAAGTCTCCCACCAATTCTGTTCAATCACACAATCTCTTTGAATCCCAGAAATCATCCTTACTCTTTATGTTCCAGACGAATAATATCTCCATGCCTCACAAACTCCACAGGGCTTGAGGGGTCAGACAGATCTGCTGAAGGAAGACAAACTAATCATATCAATGCACTGACAAACTTACCAGGGTCTTAGAAAGTTTCTTGCTGATGCTCGTGCCTCAAGCAGATAATAAAGCAAACAAAGTTGTGTTGACCCTAAGCCTGATGTAAAACATTGCTCTAAACTCTAATCCTGAGAGCTACTCCAAAGAATGTGAACTATAAATGACTCTTGCAACACTGATTATAATTTTTCTTATATATCTACATTATTTATATTTTTTGCTATTCAGACAATTCTTGTTAATTTTTATAAAAACATGCATCAGGTAAAGAAAAGGAAACTGCCAGACCAAGCATGCCTCAGCTATATACACTACCTAATCTAAATCAACAGCTTTCTGCACAAACCACAGATAATCACATTCAGTACTCTTATCTTGTCCCAAGCAATCACCCACAAAAATCTGTCAAACACAATGTACCAGACTGTTACAGGACCCAGCTTTCCCAAGACTCTTAGCCACAATAACAGATTGCAATAACTCAGTTCAGACAAATTTCCTCTCTGCTGTTATTTGCAGCCCTACACAGCTGAAAAATTGTCAATGCAACCTTCAGCTAAGAAAAGCTTATTTACTTCAGCTGTACAAACTGAAGAAGAACAAAAAAACACAGTAGACACATACACAATGTAAATCAAGAGACAGCTTCCCCTCGGTCTTCCTCATCTCCCCCTCATATCCTTGAAGGATACTCTGCCCTGGGAAGAACTCAGAATATTTATGTAAAAAACAGAAGCAGCAGTTATAAAAGGCACTAAACTGGTTTTTGTTACCTGTATCTGAGTCATGTTTCTTTATGATCCACAGGTTATTCAAATCTTTATGTAAGTAAGCAGTGACCTGAAATGACAGGATTAATTATTTTACATAACAAGAAAAAAGCTGTTGATAGCAGTCACACATTCACCAGCAAATCAAAGCCTCAAATGAATGCATCAACCACACAGAAGTCCTGAGATTACCTTTATCACAGTGTCCCCTAGAAAACCAGTTATGGGGCACTCCTTAACCCAGATGACACCTCTTAGCCAGTGTATAGCCCATACTCAGAAGCACTACCCTTCATGGCAGTTCACAGGCACCAAGAGCCTCCAAACACAGCCTGATCTCCCCTCACCCTGTTTCAGAGGCTCCTTCTACAACAACAGGATATCCAAACCAGAGCTCTTGAATAATCACTGACCACTATCTGAACCAGGAGACAGAAGCAGCACTGGCTTTACAGACAGTAGAGATTGCTGACAACAGGCTGACTGTGACAAACACAACATCTGCCAAAAGATCCAGGCAAGGCAAGGATTCAGGAATCACCCATTACAGCCACACAGCTAACCCCTGCCAGCCTGCTCAGCCTCACACAGAGCAACTGCAGCTACTGCTACCATGGACACAAGGAGCATCTTATTCCAGGCTGCTGCTGCCCAGAGCACGTGGAACTGTACTCCCTTTGCCCACCCTCTTCTTAGAGAGCAGCAAGCCCTGCTCTGTGGGACCCTAGCCCAGTGCCCCACCTGTGCCTCTCTCTCAGGTGGGAGTAGATGGCCCAGTGGCTGGGTGAGAGGCAGAACACAGGAGTGTCTGACCATGGGGAAAAAGGGAGAGGTGGAGGTAGAACCTCATACCTTGAGGTCAAGCCATCAGGAGAGGAGGAGAAAGTGGAAGCAGAGAGAGATCACTTTTTCCTCTCTAAATCTCCCCCAAATTCCTCTCTAAATTCTCCTCCCCTCTCCAGAGCCCTGAAACTACCCTAGAACCCTACTGCTGTCCTACCATCAGGGCAGGGAACACAGCAGGGAAACCTCCACCCTTTCCCACTTTCCACAAGGAACTCCCTTTAGTGTCCTCTCCAAATTGCCTTTCCCTGCTTTTAGTGTCATAAAGCATGATCTGCACTCCAATTTTGCCTATGCTTGAGGCAGTTTAGCATAACAACTCCATAAATGTAATAAACATTAATGTCATGCTAGAGTATTAGAAATTCTGATTGTGACAAGCAGCAGGAAAAAAAGATTGAGACAAAGTTTTCACTTCTGAAAGCTGCCTCCTAGCCACAGAGATAGCAAGGAGTTAAAAACCAAACACTTGTGTTTCTCTGGCAACTTTCAAGGATCTCAGAACAATTTTTAGACACCAATAATCAAACTGCAGAATACATCTTGGTAAAAGTGCAGAAACAGCAAAGATTTGTGAAGCTTGATGATGATGGACAAAAATAAGAAATCCACTTAATGTTTGTACTTCTTAATTAGAGATAGTTACATGATTTCTGATTTCTACTTTCACTTATTGCTTAATCATTTAATGAGAAGCCCTGAGCTCAGATGGTTTCCATATGGCTATATTAGCTTACAAATGCACAGTATCTAATTTCTTGAGCAAATTCTTTGGTGACAGATGAAGAAAGCAAGGCACAAAGGAGAGGGATTCATGTAAGTTCACAGAGGCCAGTGGCTGGAGTAAAAACAATACACAGCAGTTCCATTCCCTTGCTTTTAATATACAGCCAGAAAAGCTGTAAGATAATGTACTTGTTTTAAACCAAGTTTTACAACTTTCCTTGAGGTAACTTTCGTTATGGAAAACTATTCTGAAGTCTTCTTGGACTCCATTTATGGATGGTGGCCTTGTTACTGTAAGTCACCCCTCTGGTGCAGTGTGGTAGGCTCTCTTCAAGCCTCCTTTTTAGTCAGAGTTCTAAGCCAAGTGCACAGCTGTAGCACTGAGAGGGTAACAGATGCTGAGTCAACACACAGCTCCTACCAGTTTGGCCCCTCAAATACAAAGAGAGTAACCCAGGGTAGTAGACACAGGCAATACACCACAGCACCCACCTGCTGCTGGCGAGCCCCCACGCCCTCGGGATAGAGGTGCCAGTGGGAGTGCAGGTATCCCCCTGCCATCCGAAGGTTCTTCATTGTCACCACTGACCCATATGCCAAATCTGCAGGAGAAAGGGGGAGGAAAAAAGACATAAGACAGCTCTCTTGTATCTCCCCCAGCTAGTCTACAGTGCTCGACTAAGCATGCACTCCCCATTGTTTTGATGGAATTTTGTTTCCTGTTTGACAGGTTACTCCACAGGGCTCATTGCAGGCTTATCTCCCATCCCTAACCAGGATTCAGTGAAACTGTTACATAACATTTGGCTGAAACACTTCAAACCCTCCCACTAAGTTTTAACATAAACAGACGTGGTAAGGCATTCCTTTGTTTGTAATTTCATAATGAAAGTTTTGAAATAGCTTTCCCTAAGAGTATAACACTGCTGACCCCTACAGCAATACGAGAGGGAAGGGAGGCAAGCTCAGCTACTGGATAGCAGATATACACTGGCTTAAGGCACCTTCCCTCCTAGACCCCCAACACAACTCAGCCTTGAGAGATCAGACCTGATGTTCCCCCAGTGACAGCTCTGGAGCTGGGAACAGCCAGAAAAAAGCTGAAGTAATCAGAAACCTAAACCATTTTAAAGGGTCAGTAGTCCCTAGCCAACCTGAGGATTAGGGAACAACCACAGAGCCTTCTTTTTTTGCTAAATTCAGATGCATTCTGAACACAACAAAGCTGGACCAGTGGCATGCTGTGTCACAAAAGTTGACAGTTGCCATTTACACATATTTTGTAAACAAATCCCACATCTGAACACTCACAAATCTAAGGTGAACAGGAAAAAAACAGATAGTGACCATGCACTGAACATGGTGATATTTTCAGCCTTTTTCTTTCTGTCAATTCATAAAACTGCACAGAGGAAGAGCATGGATCTGACCTTGACCATGGAAGGCATAATTCCCACTGCTCTGCACTGAGTCACAGGGACACCATTTCTATTTAAGCTCACATGTACACTGACAACATTCAGAGTGCTTTATTCATGTGGATACTCACGCTCTGGAATGGAGACATTATGAAGATTGTTCCCAATCAGCTGGGATTGAAATGCTGAACTGAAGAAACCATCCCCAGGACCACTACAAAAGATAGCAAAGAATATGACAATTAGAGGTCTCACTACAAACCTCTGTCATGCATTACCAAGTTGTTTTTATAGAAGAAAAATTATAAAACCAGACTGGACATCTGAAGAAGAGTAGGAGCAGCTCCCTTAAGAGGCACACTTCTCTAATGTTGTGAATCACAGCAGATAGAGACAGTCTTGCAGGAAATTGTCCAGAGCTGCAAGGACTTGAGGTCTCAAAAATGTACATGCTGGCACTGCACAAAACATCAGAACTGTCTTTGGGGGTGCTCTTACAACAAATAAAGTGACCCACTGTCAGGACAGATATAACAAAGCCTTTCTCTGTGACACCTGCAGTCTTACTTTTGCTAAGATGTTAGTGGTAAGACCAGCAGACTTTAACTGAAAAATAACATTTATTTTTCTATTCTTTTTCTACAGTGAAATGCTTATTCACCTAATTTATAATGCTGGCATATGGAAAACATTACTTGGCCATTTTACTAGCTCTTTCCTTGTAAAAAGCATCCCTTGGTTGCAAGCAGTCAGGAAAGAGCCCTCCCTTCAAGCACTCTCAGACTCTTTTAATCACAGCCATTTTTCAGGAGTGCAATGATTTTTTAATTACAAAAAGACAAAGAATGGAGCTGAGACATTTTCAGGTCCCAGAAAGAGAAGAGGAAAAAAAATGGGACAGGAAGTTTGGTTAGGTTACTTGCTTGTCATTTCAGAAAGTCTCAAGCTCAAATTCAATTTCACTGCCAGCTTGGCCAGAGAATTGGGGAAGGGAATTAAACAAAGACACAGCTGGTGGCTGTGCTTCTGACACTGAAAGTGGACTACTATATAACCAATAGCCTTTAATTCAAAGCAAAGACAAGTAATTCTTCTGGAGAAAACATTGTGAAATACCTTCTATTTAACACTGCAAAATGAACAGCAAACATAGCCGTGTAGAGGGCAAGTGGGAGGATGATGAGGCAGAGTACACGAGCCAGTAAATGCTTCCCAAACATCACCTGTAACAAACACAGTCTGCATCAAACACTGCAGGAACAACTTCACTCCTGATTTCACAAGACTCTGAGCAGCAGTCCTGTGGCTGGAGCTCACCAGGTTGTAGAATTGCCTCAGAAAGGCCCAGAGAGAGGTAAAAGCTGAGGCAGACCTTGCTGTGTATCTCCAAAAGCTGGAGCTACGGTACCTCAAAATTTTTTAGGGTCATAGGAAAAAAGACAAAAATAGGCAAGAGGAGAGTTTAGTGTTCCGAAGTGCTGAGCATCTCTAACTTTGGCAAGGAGGTTGGGCAGCCCTCATTGAAAATACTTGGAGAGCAAGGACCTTAACTTGTTTATCAGTGGTACACATCTTGATCCAAAATCCCAGCAAAGAGATGGCTCCCAAAATAGTAACTACCAAACCTAAGCAAGAGGGAAAATGAAAATTTGTTCCCCCTATAAGTCTATGCAAATGTGAATGTAACCAGGACATCTTGGGGATCTAGATATGCTTCACTTACAGAAACCATCCTACTTAGCAAGGATGCTCTCACACTGCAACTTCTAGTGCTGCCCAGCCAGAAACTACAGAAAAGTCAGCAGCAAAACCTGTTCTTCACATGTCCCAAAATGAAAGCAAAATATTTTATTTCAACCAATTGAAAATGTGTTTTGCAAACAGATGCCAAAGAAGCTATTACGTTTTCACATCCTACTGACACTGCTGGTAATAGAGTAAATAATGTAAAATAGAGGGTGGATAATAAATAGCTGTGGAAGAAGAAAAAAAATAAATAGCAAAAACTGTTTGCTAAATGCCACACTAACTTCAAAGTGGATGAAAGGAGATGCACTTGCTATTCTACATATTCTTTAACATGATACCTATCATATAATCATTCTCCATCCTTTACTACCAGAACCAATTAATTCAGAAGGAATGGAAAAAGCTGAACACATAGCAAAACTCAGTGAAGTCAACAAAGGAAAGAGCTGTTCAGTTCAAGTACTTCAGCAGAACACTTAATAATCACTGGACACTGAGAAACTAATGCTGATTGATAGTACATAACCAAATATAGGCAGTGGAGAGGCACATGAACTACCCTCCAGTTCCCTACTTAGAAAAGCCTCAATATGCTCCAATTTTCATGAAATGGTTTTCTTAAACTTCAAAGACTTCAGTGCAAAGTCTTTGCATTGAAGTAAAGAAAGTGCATGTGAAAGACATCAGTGAGCAAACCAGAACAATGGATCAACACAAGCTGAGAATTCTAGAAATCAACTTAGTCCCCAGAAAACTGCATGTAAATAATCATGAGAAGCTCCCTAACAAATGCAGAGGTAAGTTATTCAGGCTTTCAGGAGATTAATCCTCACCTTTTTTTTTCCTCTCCTCAAGAGGTTGCCAAATAGCTATTCAGAATGCATCTACCTTCTGGAGTAAATTTTTTTACATATTCTAACACTCGGGGGTTTGCTGCCTTTGCTGCCAGCAGCACAAATGAAATCACTGTGCAGCTGTCTGCTGGCACAAAGCTTAGACATGATGGATTTGTTCTATTTCAAATGCAATTAACTGACTTTGCTCAAGAAGTGTTTCTCTGGAGTTGGAACACTGAATCTTTGCAGCCCATATTGTTCACATTAATCAAAGAAAACAAATCACACAGGAGGACTAGAAAATGTTCCCCCATGCTCCCAGTGTTTATAGGACAAATGAGACAAAAACAGTAAGTGAAAAAAATAGAATTTTTAAGCTTCAAAAGAGGCTGAGACAAGAGGAGAACTGAACACCTTTTAAAAGATATGACTGAAGAATTTGTCTTCCTGCCGGTTGCAAGACAGCAAATGGTACATCAAGGCGTTTCTCCAAATGGCAGATTTCACACTTGGCAAACACAAAATGCAGTATATTAGACCAGGACACTCAAACCCACTAGCAATTTCTTTAAAGCTTAGAAGAACTAAAGGTGTGTGAAATCAAGCAGGCTATGGCTGTCTTCATCCTCTAAACTGGCTATGGATACTTCAGGTTGCAGAGCATTTCTATGACTCGTGATGCTCCTGCTCTGCAGCCTCTGCCCCCTTACTCTCAGGAAGCAGAGCCTGAGCTCACGCTGCTTATGCAAACTAAGTGCTGCAAGACACACCTGTCTGCCAGGGAGCACATACTCCATGGAAGGTCAGGTAACAGTGCTGGGCAGCATCTTGCTTTGGGCCACTGTAAAGCCATTCCCAATGAGCATTCTCAGCTTAGACTGAAAATGTAGCCAACTGGAATGGTAACAGTTTCTCTCAGGAAAAAGTAACAATCTTTCTGCTGTGTTTGTATACTATAATGTCCTGCTAATATAAGTGTGTTTGGTTTTTTCAAAAGTGTGGCAATAATTTTTTCTTTATAACCTTAATCTCCTTTTTTCATCACCACATCAGACGCCCCTCTCTGCTGCAGACACAGTATCTCTGTTTGGGTATTTGCAGGGTTGTCAAACACTAGGAGAATTACAAAGCAAACAAAACAAAGAAACACTTAAAGTAAAGAAAAGCCTTTGAAACTCACCAGTGACAGGCTGAGATTCCCCAGCAAGTCCCATAGGTCATAGATTGTGTTCAAGCCAACCAAGAGGACAACAAAAAGGCCAACAAATTTTACCCCCATTGCTCCAGCAAGGCTCACACCAGTCAGACTCAGCCAGAACCACCAGGAGGCAGAAAATGGCCTGCAGGACCAGTAGGACAAGTCAGTAAATACAATGACAGCTACATGAATGGGCAGCCTGTGATCATAAAAATAAATAACAGATCAATTACCCCACAAAATTACAGTCCATCTTCTCAGGAACCCATAAGAAGTGGAAAAACAAGTTTTTCATTTAGTTTAGAATCACACAAGGATACTGGTTTCAGATGCAGGCTTGTGAAGCCTTGATACAGGCTTCAGGTACACTTAAGCCAGGGGCAACCCTAGATCTCCCATTTGAGGATGGAAACACAGATAGCAGGTATAAGCTAAAATACTAGTGTGAAGAAAGTCTGACTATACTGAAGTTCTGAAAACAGAAACAAGAACTTTGCTCCGTAAACTGAAAACTTCTCTCAGAAATTTAGACATGGGGAAGAACAAGAGGCAAAGAGCAGCCACCTGCACTAAAGCAAGAAAGCCTTAGCAGAAAACATCTCTCCAAACAAAAACTGCACCAAAAAGCAAACAAATTATAAACTGACATAAAACTGAACCACAGAAAAGAGATGAGAAAAAATGACAGCAGAATTTAAAACCTTTTTCCTTCTGATTCCTAATGCCTTGATGCTTTTATTTCAACTAGACAAAATCCCCATGACCTGCTTAGCAACATGAGAGCTAGAGTCGGCTTTTAATTTTTAGAATATCAACTACTTTGACAACAGGATTAGTTCTAAGATATGAAAAATAAATTCAGGTCAAGGCACACAGAGCTGATCAAGAACTGCCCTGTAATTTAGTGCTTGCATTCCCTGGGGAATGTGCTGTAGATAAGGATGGCCTTGGACAGCTGTACATGATGCTGCAGGCTGCATTTCAGCCACACGAACTGCAGACACACTAAGATGGATGTGATCAGTTCTTGAATGTTTCATGAAATAAAAACTGTTCATATATAACACAGAATTTCAGCTTTTTATGTCTTTGAATTTGGAATGCATTTCAAGGAAACTATTCTGTGCAGCCCAGCCACAAAGAAGCCCTCTGACAGATCCCAATACCTATAAACCACCACCCTTTCTGAATGGTTCTATAGCAAATATCCTTAGCAACTTGACTACTTTATTCAGAATCATCCTGGCTATATTTTCCTCTAAGTTTTTGTAGCCATTTTTCTAAACCAAACAAATTACACTATTTACCTCAGACAGCAGGATTTTTAAAGGTGCTTACAGTCACAGGTAAATTTGTGTACTACAGGCACAATACCTTCTCCCTAACTACACAGATCCTCAGAGTAAAAATTTCTCTCTGCTACCAACAGTCATTTTCTGCTTCAAATTTCCTGAAATAATCTCATTTCAGCCACTCACACACCACCAATGGCAGATATTACTTTAACTGTGTGAAAGTTAAATACCTATAGTTTAACAAAATTATCATCTTTATCTTACCTGTCTGCACAGCTGTTACATTTCACCATACTCAGAACAGCTCCCATGAGAAAGAACATTAGAATGGGATCCAGCAAAATATATTGGGACAATGTAATACAGCCTGTATCTGCAAAGAGACACACAGCAATGTCAGAAAGACTTGCAGTTCCAAAGTGAACCTAAGATTGTGGGAATTCAGCTTCCTCAGTGTAGTCAAGACAAGAAGAGAGCGGGAAATTTTAGAAACAGAAGGAGATCGTAACATTTCATCTTCTACCTGAATAACAAAGGAAAAAAACCCAACAAAACAAAAATAAAAACAAATACAAGAACAAAAGGCAGTGCAGCAGTATCTGTGAAACACCATTTGGAAAGTGCTGATAACATATTCAGATGGAGAGGATTACAGCCAGCAATTATCTACCTAAGGCATCACCATAGTGCCAGAGGATGCCAGAGGAGAAGTCATCTTTCAGATGGTACCTATAAAAAATGAATATGGCTTTGATATTTAAAGTCTCCATTTCTCAATACCTGTGTGACCTTACAAAACTCCTATTTTGGTAACTTCATTTGCAAGGTCAATTTCTCCACTTGGCTCAATTCAACAAGGAACTTTATTAATTTCTTATTGTGAACTCTTCTAAAGTAATGCAGGGGCTGTTAAAGATCTCTATAATTCATACAGGAAACATCAATATTTCACTAGTGGGTAAAATCATTCCTGACCACCCACCTTATAAAAATTTTTAAAATTAAGGTGCAATCTAACCCAGTTCTGTGGTTGTGCAAATAACAGAAGTACTTATGAACTAAACAAGACTGTGAAGATCTTAAGGGGACCACCAAGTAAGAAGCCTCTTACATATATACATTTAAAAAAGTGGAATTACTTTGCTTTTGAGAAAGTCTCTCAATAACCCAAATATCCCCTAGTTAGGTAACACATGGTAATGCAGAAATTAAATTATCTGAACAATTAAGATACTCAATTTTGCTGTAGCAGGAACACCTACCAAAAATAAGGATGAAAGCCGTGAGTAAGGCTGCTGGCAGTGACTTTGACAGTTCCAACACCGTGAGGTAGGCAAAAGGAACCAGGCAGGAGCCAAGAAATGCACAAAACTGCAGGAAAAGATCATAGCAGAAGTTATAACCCCACCCATGTTGGACAAGAGCTCCGTTTCCTTTCCTTCATCTTCCATACCTACAACAACAGGAGGTGCTGCAGCAGCTGAACCGAGTCTCAAAGAACATCGGACAAAAGCCAACTGAACAAAGACACTGCTCAGAGGACAGAGGCTTACCCTGCTCTCCAGTGGTGTCAGTAACAACAGTCAGTCACACTCTTGCTAGACTACACCAGATATTTATAAATGGATGCATCAAGTAGGTACACTACATATCCATTACAGTCTTTTTTTAACAAGGTACTAGATTATGAAAGTTAAGAACAAAATACACGTGCACCTTATATCTTTAGCAGACCAGATTCCCCTCTCCTATACAAATGAGACCAAGGATAGTTGGAGGAGAAAGAGAAGAAATCAAAACAAAAGAAAGCAAGACCACAGTAGAATTTATTATCTTTAATGTCTGTTTCTAGCACCTCTCCCACCTTTAGCTCAAGGAAATGTAAAACCATGAACTTCTGGAAACTAAACTAAGAAAACATGCCTTCCCAGTTTTTAGTTTTCTTTCTATGTAGTAGCAATTGGTGACTGTTTCTCCTTTTGACTTATGTGCTGTCAGTTATGTGGCTCTTCATCTTCCTAAAAAGCAGCAGAGCCAGGGTTTCAGATCAAATACAACTCTGAATTCTGCCCTGCTGTCCTAGGCTCCATCAGCGTACTCAGCTTAGTGTCACCAGTGGTGGCAAAGTGCAGGTGACAGTGGATGATCCTGGCTTTTTAATAACCTTGGCTCCCCAGGAGATTAGCCAGGCACAATGGAGTGAGAGAAGTTTAAACTCAGCAATGTTTGCTTTGCAGACAAGGCAAGGTATCCATCCCATGCAGCAGTGTAGTCTCACTAATTAGCAGGAGGAGCTGCCCTCAATTTTCACCTTAATTTCTTACCTGGCCTCTCACAGACACATTAAGACTTATTCACAATAGAACCATTAACACTTTTCAAAGGAGCTTAAAGACAAGGTACAAGGCTAAACAGACCTCTGACCTGATCAAGGAGAGCTGTTCTTATGAAGGAACACTGTACTGAAAGGCACAGGACAGCTAACCAGCTTGACAGGAGCCTGCAGAGCCTTACCCCTCTCATCCCTACGTAGTTGTGCTGCTCATATCGATCCCCTGGCTTTTGGAAAGGAAATGTACCATCATATCCACTAAGGTAGCCAGCAAGTCCAATCAGCATCTGAAGAGAAAACGTGAAAAAAATGGTCAGGAAAATCACACTGGAGGAAAAAGTATCCAGGCTAGCAGCAGGTAAGATTTCTATAGAAGGCCCATTGATTCAGAGGACAAATAATTCAGACACATCATCCAAAAAAGAGTTTATTTACAGAAATCATTTACTTCCATACTGCTCTTTGTCTTAAGGCAAGATCAGAATTGTTTTTGCAACAGACTATAAGGCTGACTGCAAGCTCAAGGAAAATAGCAAGTGTGGAGTTGAGCAGAGAGAATCCTGTTGAGTCCCCCATAGCTCCCTATCCCTTTAGTTTCAGGAGACTCAGTCTGAAAGGAAGACAACTTTGACAAGGCAGGAGGATGCACCTTTATCCACACTACACACTGTTGCTAAAACAAGTTCATTTACAGAACAGGAATCAATGCTCTCAGGGTCATTTGTGGCAGGCATCTCATTTGCTCACAAGTTATCAGGAACTGTTTGCTTCCTTTAAAATGTAGGCTTCTATTACATATGCCCCCCAAGTGTCACATTGATTTTTTTGTGTCAAGCCTTTCAAAACCACAACATACAATACTGTTTGGTTTTCTTATATTCGAAGCATTTTTTGTGAGAACAAAAAGTTGCAAGTTGAGGCTCTGGACACAGAATGCAAATTGCTGTGGTGTCAACAACAACAGTTAGGAAGGACTATGTTGTTCACCACATCCTTTGGCCAGAAGGCAGAGGCAGACTTTTATTGGCCCACTCCTGTGGCTTCTGAAACATGCAACAGAAAAGCACTTTACCTTCCCCAAAGGGGGATGGACATCAAAGAAGAAGGTCCGATTAATGTAGTAACTTCCCATCTTTCCAAAATGAGTTTCATCCCAACTGGAAAAAACACACCAACAAAACACAAATCACAATAACCACTCTGCTACAATGCTGAAGAGAGTTTTAAAAAAAATCCAGGAAGATCTTTTTACTTATGCTTTTTATAGTATAGAGGGATACTTTCATACATTCCATATGAGACGATGGGAAACCATGGACAGCACTGCAGCCATTGTAGGAAAGGTCCTTTTTTTAAGGAGTTTTATATTATCACTGCAAAACCTCCGGTTTGCCCTTTTGCTTCCAAATTGACCTTAGCGAGGTTAAAAAGTCTGCTTGCTGCACAAAGATCCCCAAGACGCCCTCCCCGGGACCCGGTGCCCTCCTGCAGCACGGCCCCAGAGCAGCGTGGAGGGCGCGGGGGCCGGGCCGGGCTGGCCGGAGAGCGCAGCCCTGCCCTGTGGCCCTCACTGCCGTGTCCCGTCCCCCACCTGCCGGGGATAAACAGGGATCCCTGCCACCCCGGGCGGGGAAGGGGCGCGGAGCGGGGGTGCGGTCCCGGCCGCTGTGGCCGGCAGAAGGGACACGCACCCACCCGCATCGCGGGGCCCGGGCAGCGCCCGGCCGGAGAGGCGCACGCCCCAGCCCCGCCCGTCCCGTACCATACGTGCGGCGGCTCCCGCAGGCGGTGGAAGCGGGAGGCGAAGCTGAGGAGGGTGACGAGGGCCAGGGCGGCCGGGCGGGTGGCGGCGGGCGGGGCGGGACGCGGCGGCGCCCCCGGCCCCCGGCGGGGCTCCCGCTGCCGCGGCGGCATCCGCGGGCACCCGCCGCGCGCTGCACCGCGCCGGGCGCGGCGCATGCTGGGCCGGAGTGCGGCGGGCGCGGGGCACGCCGGGGGATGCAGTCCCGGCCATGCGGTGCCGGCAGCCGCCGAGCCCTGAGCGCAGGCCGGGACGGCGATGAGCGCCGCCGCCGCCGCCAAGGTACGCGGCGCTGGCTCCGCGCTCTCCCCGCGGGCGGGAGGGGAGCGGGGGGCGATGGCGGCGCCACGGCCGGTGGGAGCGGGGCTTGGGGCGGCGGCTCTCCGCCTTCGGCCTGCGCGGGCCTCGCTCGGTTCGGCCTCGTCTCCGGCTGTGGCTTTTGGTACCGCGGGAAGGCCGGGATGGCGGGTCCCGGGAGGAGCGCGCACCCGCTGCCCCGGCCTGCACCCGTGTCTCTGTCGCAGTGGAAAGTAAGGAATTTAACCTCGTGCTAAATAAAATGCTTCAGTGTGCTGATGCTTTTAGCCGTGCTCCTTACTTAGCATATTTTATTGGCATGCGCTGTTCACACCAATTCCTGCTGAAGAGATACTTAGAATTTAGGAGCAAATCTGTTCTTTCTGCTTTCCATTTGAACCCAGCAGGGTACAAGCTGTGCCTTTCGGGCACCGAGGTGTCCCCTGCGGCAGCCCCCAAGCAGCAGTGTATGTGTGCAGGCTGCTGGGCTTGGTGGGTCTCGGGAAAGGTGAGAGATTTGGCCTTTCCAAGTGCATCCCATTTATCCCCCTGGAAAGAGGTGATGTGCAGAGTAGACCGTACTACTCTGAAGAAGACAGAAAACCTAAGAGGTCAACATATAAAGTTAGGGGCGTTTCTTCCATCTTTCACAACAGGGAAGTGTGTTTCCCAAATTTTTACTCTGGACTGGTATTTAAGCCCAAACTTTCCTCACTGATTGCCAGAAATGAAAACAGAACCAAACCAGAACTCTCAGTAGACATCAAGCAAACCCTGTCCTCCTGCATCATCCCAGCTCCAACCAGGCTAAACTGCAGGGTTTGGGGATTTTATCCCACAAAGTTGTAAATGCAGGAAATTCTTTCCTGAGACTTCCCTGGACCATACTCAGCATTTCCTCAGAGGAAATGCTGACAGTGTCGCTCTGGGATCTGTCCACTAAGGAGAAAACATTTCTGTTGTCTGTAGTCTTTACTTAGCTGATTATTTTTGCCTGTGATCCGCCCTGCTGCTAGGAGCAAAACAGCATCAACTCAAGAGATCACTCCATGCCCCAGCCTCTGGAGACAGTTCCCAGCTGAACGTTGGGTTGGTTTCTTTCTGGTGAAATCCCCCAGGGCCTTGAAATTATAGAGCAAGGCAATTAGCATAGTACAGTTTATTCCAAATGATAGCATAGGCTGTAAAACCAAAAACGAACTGCAGAGAGAATCAGGAGAAATGTCTCTGCTGGCTGAGAGGCCAGAGTCCAAAATAGACATAGTGAAGGACATGAATTTCTGAGCCAAAACATCAATAGCAAGGTCCTCAGGAAATGCACGTAAAATTAGTATCTCATGACTGCTCTATTTTCTCTTTTGAAGCCGTAGTTTCTGTTTCTTTCCCTGAAACTCACCAGGCTAGACATTTGAAAAGTGAACATAGCTGATATTTCTAATGCCCTGATCCCAGGAGAATTTAAGAAAATCAGTAAATATTTTATCCACTTAAGTGTTACCAGTACTTTCCATCTCTTTCCTCCTCACTTATAAATCTGAGTAATTTAGTCAAAGACATACCTCATTTGAAGTTATTTGAGCCAATCTAAACTGTAAGAGAAGCATGAACTTTACAAAGAGGACTGGAGCACGGAGATCACCAGTGTCTCTGGTTTTCTGTTGACAGACTATAATTGAGCATATCTGTGCATTCTTTTGTCTTGCTGCTAAATCTCTGGAAAAACTTCCATGCATTTTGGGCGGGTAGAGACACAGAGAGATCTATGGCATGCCACGGGATCTGTGTAAGCAAGGAGAGACATGATTACAGGTTTATTTTTAGACATACAGGGGTACCAATTTCCTGTGCGGAAAGAAAAAGCTCTCACACAAAAAAAATGTGCAGTCTTTTATTTTACATGGAGTTGGTCTGAGGGCAGAGTAGCAGCTTCTCCCATATCTGGAATGTAGAAAATCCCCTGTACTGGCCAATACTGGTGGGAGGGGAGCTACAGGAGCACACCATGGAATCTTCCTGCAAAGGCAGCCCATTCCCAGAGCTAGCAATCATTCCCTAGTGAAAAATAAATTCTGCATGCAGCTTTGGTTTTAATTTTTTGTTCTCCAGGGTTAGATTTCTGCATTGGCAACTGGTGACAGCTTGTGAGGCTCTCCAGACACCTTATTTATTTCTGGATGAAAAGCCATGGAAATAAGAATGGTTCCCACTTCCAAGCTTAAATCTCGTTAATGGTTTTGATATCAGGGCTGGGAGAGGGTGACTCAGGATTGAATCTAATTGGCTGGTTTTTGTGTCCTGGGCACAGACTGGGGGGCAAAGTCCTTATTGGTTTTAAGAGAGAAGCCTTCCCCCATGCCAGCTGAGTTAAAAGGGAAAACACAGACGTTTTTATTTCGTGGAGGCAACTGCACACACTTACCATGGCATCTGAAAAGGTGAGAGTTTGGACAGGGTGGAAGCATCTGGGAAGGCTGCCTTAGTCTCATAGTTCAGGTAGAGATGAATTGTCTGTCTTCATGGCTTTCAGCTCAAACAGCAGAAGCTCTTATTGCTTGGAAAGAAATCTGGCTTTTCCCTGCATGGCTGCAAAAGCTATTTCATATCATAGAAATACCCAGGTGCTTGGCACAATCAGTACAGAAATTGTTTCAGAAATCTAAGATGGGACAGAAGTTAGCAATATTGGATAGGGACAAAGAGGGAAGCTTTATAGGGACTAATTTCAAGGTCATTTCTGCATTGCTGGAAACATCATGTGCAACTGGATAATGAGAAGGCTATTATGAGAGACAGTGATGCTACCTGTATGCCCAAATCAGGAACAGTTACTTTCAGAAAGGAGCCCTCTCCTCCAAACATTGCTCTCCCCTTAGAGTTCCTGAAATGCCTTCTGCTCATGCATTCTTTTCCTTACATTCAATACCCTGGTGCTCCCAGCATATAACCTTTTATCTTTCTCTTCTCAGCCAATACTTTACAGCTATTTCCGAAGTTCCTGTTCTTGGAGAGTGCGAATCGGTAAGATTCGGTGTTCATCTCTCTTTTTTTGTCTCAGTATTGCAGCATTCTCCCCTTCACTAACCCAATTAATCAATTACTTATTAACAGAGAGGTTAGCAAACATGAGCCTGGAACAGTGAGGCATCTCCCTGTGGGGAGGGTGGGGAAGAGAGCATCTTACCTGGAGCAGGTGGAATAGAGGGGAACAGATAAGAGGGCTTCATGATACTACCTCAGACTCTGGCCTGCCCAGGTCATGAGAGCTAAGCAGGGCTGGGAATGGTCCCTACTTGTACTGAGACAGAAAGGTTTTAAAGCTGAGCACATGGTCCTGCCCTCTATAAGCTGAATCAGGAAGGGCTGTGCTGCAAAAAGTTGCAAAGCTTATTTTGAAAAATGCAGTGGTTTTGGCAGGACTGGTCTTTAGTACTTTGGTCCTTTATGTGCCGGAGCACTGTCTTCTCAGTGGACTCAGGCCACCCTCCTTGAGGGAGAGGGTCATTTTTCCAAATGTAGATGCTAACATTTTTCTGAACCCATTACCAATGAAACTGGTCCCAGTGTAGCTGTCTGAAGCTGTACACTCTGCTCTCCCTAGCACTGGCTCTGAAAGGAATTTCCTATGACCTGGTCCCAGTGAACCTCATTAAGGATGGAGGACAGCAGGTAAGGATAAAAATACCACTGCTCTCTCCAGGGTACTGAACTTGGGGATCATGAGGAGACTTGAGATTAGCACTAGAAAGTTCACAGGCAAAGTTACTGAATTCCTCACCACTTCTTTGTAATTAATAGTTGCTTTCAGCCAGTATTCCCTGCCATGTGACACAGGAGGAGAATATGACTACAGGAGACTAGAGGCTTTTTCCTCTCTCAAACATTTGTGACTGAATCCATAAGGCTGAAGATCTTTTGCTTACCATGATACAACTAAATATATCTCGAGCACAGACTTCAGAGAAGCTGCCCCACACTTTAAACAGACTCAGCCTGATTCAATTAGCAACAGAAGATGCGTGGAGGCAGGGATGTACAAAAAATGCTAAATTATATTGCAGG